ACGGTCTGCCCCAGTACCAATTCAGAGTCCAGGGACCTTTACAGGAGTCTTAATTCTTCAACATGGGAACCCTAAACTTTAAACTTCATGAGGGAAATACATCCCCTCCATCCATCAAGGATTCTCAGTCCCTCCCATGGGGTGGTATTATTGCTGGGAAGCAGGTACACAAGCAGGGACTGTGTCTCCCAACCTCCTAGTGACAGGGAATCTGTCATTAATTCAGAGTCAGCTGATTAGTAACAACTTAAAAGAGTGATGCTCCAGGCAATGGAAGTGTAGATCAGTTGGTGAAGTGCTTGCACGAGTTTGGTTTGATTACCAAAACCACACAAGCCTGGTGTAATGCATCTCTCCAGGCCCAGCTCTTGGAGGGGTGGAGGCAGGAGGATCAAAATTTAGGCTCATCCTTGGCTACCTTGGTAGTTTAAATGTAATTGGTCCCCATAATCTCACAGGGAGTGGTACTACATAGCAAGTTTGAGACCCACCTGGATTTTCTGATACCATGTCTCATTCCTCCCTCATCAAAAAGATGTTATGCTCCATCTCAACAATCTTCCCACACTCAAGAGGGAAGGTTATATGGAGTGTATATACTGGAGAAGAACAGTGCAGGTTATCTTAGAACCACACTGGCTGTACCATCCAATTCTCTATTCATTGTCATAACTTGCAATATAATGTCTTTGTTCCTTTGTCATTCCTTAAATCCTACCCAGAAAGTAGCTCTTAAGGATCCTCTAATAGTTTAATTAGTCCCTTGTCAGTTCTGAAACAATGTGGAAGATTGTCTTAATTTATTAACCCTGTGTACAAATGAGCCTCCACTATGGAGTCACCTTTATGAAATTTAGGTGTAAAAAGCCCTTTTCCTGACAGATACTGGCGAATCTTGTTTTAGGTTCTTCTGAGCAATTTCTCCACTGGTGTTTCAGGTAGGAGGCACAGTGGGAAATGCATAGAAACTCAGTTGGTAGTTTAGAGAGCATTTGATAAATACTTCTTACATAGCTATAGGAAGGGAGTAATGAACCAAGGGATAGTTGAATAGCAAATAGAGATGCTACTGTTTCTAAGCCCCCAAAGGGCATGGGATACAGGAGGGGAGAAATTCCTGATGTGTGTAAGGATGTATAAGACAAGAATGCAGACAGGAATATGAAGCATTCATGGATTACATATGGGAATAAAGACTCTACTGCAGACTAGACTAGAGGGCATGTATGCTGTGGCAAGAAACTTGGCTTTTTTTTTTTTAAATGTGCTCCATACCTCACAGGAGGTCAAATTCTTTTTGCTTTTTGAGACTGGGTTTCATCTGACCTTGGCCTCACAATGTAGCTAAGGCTAGGATTGAAAGTGTGTGCCACCACACCTGGCTTTTTAAAAAAAGGCTGGTGAACAATTACTACTACTACTACTACTACTACTACTACTATTATTATTATTATTATTTGTTTTTTGAGACAGGGTTTCTCTGTGTAGCTTTGGAGCCTATCCTGGCACTCGCCCTGGAGACCAGGCTGGCCTCGAACTCACAGAGATCCGCCTGCCTCTGCCTCCCGAGTGCTGGGATTAAAGGCATGTGCCACCAACGTCCATCTAAGCTCTTTCTTAAGAACCTAAATATGGCAAAACCAAAAAGAATTCTACAAAAGGAACAAAGGATAACTCCTAATATAGGGGTGTATACCATGATAATCCTTGTATACATGGGATGATGCAGGCACCGGGGAGAAGCAGGTATACAGGGCGAGGAGATTTCATTACAGTATATTGAGGTTATAGCTACAGAGAGCAAGAATCTATCCTGGCTACTGTAAGATATAAGGAACTTATTAAACAGGTTCATTAACAGCATCACTGTGAGGGTGGGATAAGGATTCTGGGTTAAGTTTGAAAGACCCATTTCTAGCACCTCATTATTGAATGTACTGACTCCTCTGCTGGCCCCATGGGCCAGTATGCACTAGGGACAAGACAACTTGATGAGAAAGAACCACTAGGGGCTGCCACCTTTGCTACTTCTTGTGTGGCAGAATGGAAGTTCCATGCAGGTTCAGTTTCCTCGAAGTCTTGAGTAGGTTGTATAAGTAGATTGGTCATGTGTCTCTATACTAGCTAAGGATGATTTTTATTTTACTCAAAATAAAATTCTACCCATGTGTTTCTTTCCATTGCTGTGTCCAAACACCTGACAGAACAACTTGAAGGAAGGAGGGCAGCTTTATTTGGCTTACGGTATCAGAGGGTTCATTCCATGGTTGCTTGATCCTCATGTACATGGACAAAGCATCGTGGTGCTGGGAACACAGTGAAAGAAGGCTGTTCACATCATGATGGACAGAAAGCAGGAAGTCAGATAGGAACCAAAGGTCAGATATAACCTTCAGAACTATGCCAAAGTTGTCTACTTTCTCCTTCAAGGCTCCACTTCCCCTAAAAATTTCACAACTCCCAAAGCAGTCATTTAAATACATGGGCTTTGGCAGATACATCATAGTCATAGCACTGGGAAAGTGCTCCTGACAGTGTGGAGCTGGTACAGAAATTGAACTGTTTGCTCAAAAGATATTTGTATCTAACATTTTGACATGCTGTCACACCGACTTCAAAAAATGTGGACCAGATCCCAGCACTCAGGAGGCAGAGACAGGGGCCTTGTTCTATCCCATGCAGGCTCCCCAGCTGTCAGCCCAGAGTCCATGAGCTCCCTCTAGTTCAAGTCAGTTGTCTCTGTGAGCTTCCCCATCACTATCTTGACATATACCCCTTGCTCCTATAATCCCTCCTCCCTCTCTTCAGCTGGAATCCAGGAGCTCTGCCCAGAACTTGGCTGAGTATTTCTGCATTCGCTTCCATCAGTTACCGGGTGAAGGTTCTATGATGGCAATTAGGGCAATCACCAATCTGATTCCAGAAACCTGGTTCAGGCACCCTCTCCACTATTGCTTAGAGTCTCAACTGGGGTCATCCTGTGAATTCCTGTGAATTTTCCTAGCACCAGGTTTCTTCCTAACCCCACAATGGCTCCCTCTATCAAGATGTCTCTTTCATTGCTGTCCCTTTCCACCCCTCCCCCAACTCAACCATCCTGTTCCCTCATGTTCTCATCCCCAATCCCTCCCTCTTCCCCACCCCCAGTTTACCCAGGAGATCTTTTCTATTACCCCAGGGTAATCCATGTATGCCCCTCTTAGGGTCTTCCTTGTTACCTAGCTTCTCTGGGGCTGTGGAATGTAGCCTGGTTATCCTTTGCTTTACATCTAATATCCACTTATGAGTGAGTGCATACTGTGTTTGTCTTTCTGTGTCTGGGTTACCTAACTCAGGATGTTTTTTGTTTGTTTGTTTGTTTTTTCTAGTTCCATTTGTTTTCCTGCAAACATCACAGTGTCATTATTTTGTTTTGTTTTGTTTACCACTGGGTAATACTCCATTGTGCAAATGTACCACATTTTTTTTTCTTTTTTGGTTTTTTGAGACAGGGTTTCTCTGTGTAGCATTGGAGCCTAACCTGACACTCGCCCTGGAGACCAGGCTGACCTCGAACTCAAAGAGATCCGCCTGCCTCTGCCTTCTGAGTGCTGGGATTAAAGGCATGTGCCACCAACACCCAGCCCACATTTTCTTTATACACTCTTTGGTTAAGGATCATCTGGGTTGTTCCCCAGTTCTGGCTATTACAAATAATGCTGCAATGAACATAACTGAGCAAGTGTCCTTGTAGTGTGATGAGCATCCTTTGGGTTTATGGCTGAGAGTGGTATTGCTAGATCTTGAGGTAGATTGATTCCCAGTTTATAAAATGTGTTTTTAAATTAATTTTTTAGTTGGCATAGAAAATAATGATTACAACATAAAGTTTTCATATAGAAACATCACTGTACTTGGCTCATATTTACCCCTTTCCACTCCTCTTGTTCCTTCTTCCACCCAAATAGTTGCCCTAGCAGGCAATATCATAAGAGAATTAGGTAACCATACAATACATTATTTTCTTGTAAGGGGTCCTCATTTTAGGGGGTAAGACAAAACTGTCCCAAGATAAAGTATATGACATACAAGACAAAGAAGAATGCAACTGAAGAATGGCAAAAGTGATAATGGATTTAGGAGAATTGCTACAGGGGTCCAGCTCAAGGGAGTGTGAGAATTTTGTGTAAGGGTTCATCTTGGTAATAGCAGTATAGGGGAAGCTGATGCTAGGTATAGGGTAACTGTGGTGTAAATGTGACTCAGCTGCAGGTTTGGTTGTTTGGGAAAGACTCAAGTGTAAGATATAGTAAATTATATTTTAGTGAGTTCTAGTGGAGCTGGTAGTAATGTGTCACTTAACATTTTGCTTTGCCTGGATTAGAAGTTAAAGATAAAAAATATGGTAGGGGTTCATGAAAATTTGGTTCATGTGAACTTCAAAAAATGAGATATTTAAGTATTAATTCTTACTTTATTTGAATTTAAAATGATGCTATCCACCCACATGAAATTGAACATGCATGGGATTCTTATCATTCCATCCAAACGATAGATAGATAGATAGATAGATAGATAGATAGATAGATAGATAGATAGATATTCCACACAGTTCCACTTTAACTGGCCAACAGGGGCACCCACCACTTCCATTTCCATTTGTGGAAAGTCCTTGGCCAGAACTTAGAGAAGCATTTTAGAGGTGGCATCCCTACTGACGTCAGCTCCTCTTTTCACATGTGTCCTGCCAGATCTTCCCACTACGGGTAGTGCTTGTAGCCCACTCTTCTCAACGCTCTTAGTCCACTTTGCCTTCTCACTTCTCCTGACCAGCATAATCTGGGCTATGTCACTTTTCCAGGTTATCCTTTCCCCTCCTCAATGGTTAGAGAGTCAATGATAGGCATAATAGTTGGGACTCATGAGCATCCTCCAGGGCCATTACCTTTAGTGAGGAACAAAGGGTGCTTTACAAGTGCCCATGAGAGTCCACAGGAGGAAGATGGAGTAGTGTATGGATTCTAAGCTCTGCCACAGGAAGAGCTCTCTGAAAGGAGAAGAGCCTGGTCATCCTTGTCCTGCTGCTCTGCCTCCGGCAGCAGCCTGTAAAACGTTCCTGATGAGCTCTCAAGATACAGTACTTCCTTGGACCCTATCAGTCTCAAGCTGGGACAGTAACAACGGTGCCAAAAGGAAGAGAAGCCATAGACTCCCAACAGGCATAAGGCATTGATCATCACATGCCAGCAGAAGAAGGTAGTGACAAACATGATGTCGTCATCCTTCCATGGGTAGCCAGAGATCGGTCTAAACAGAATAAAGCCTGAATGCATCAGCCACGAGCCCATCATCAGAAACAGGAAGTTCTTGATCAGCTGGAGGCAAAAGGACCCATTAGCCCACAGCTCTGCAGTCAACACCAGCATCAGCAGGAACACTACTAAGATGAGAAGAGAATGAACCTGCAGCTCCACCTTTGATGAGACCTGAACATGTGACAACAGCAGCAGCAGGAGCACGTAGATGCCCAGGGCCATGGAACCTCTTTCTAGAACCACACACCTCTGCCTCAGCACATTCTTGCTCATGACATCGACACAGCCATCAAGGATGAGGAAAATGAACACAGTGAGATGCTGCCACTTGTGAGGGTACATAAACCTTGGTGGTGTCTCTTTGTTGATCAGTACCATCCCATTATCCAGACAGAAGACCACATAAAATGTTAAGAGGGAGCCAGTCACTATCTTCAGCCAGCCTCCAAAAGCTATTTTCCACAGCTTGGAACATCTCTTTTGATTCTTGGGAAGGTTTGAAAGATGAACGGGAGAGTCATTAGCTATCATGGTCTTGGAGACCACTATTGCCTGATATAATCCATAAAAGAAAATGTATAACCCTGGAAAGAAATGGCCACCGAACCTTTCATTCCCCATGAAATGATAGGTCTATTTGTATAAAAAGTAAAGAAGAGAACTTGAGATTTCTCGGCCTTCCTCTCGCTCATGAGCTCATCAAGTTTTGGTTGTACGCACAGACATAGTGTCTACCTATTTTTATCGTCTCCTTCTGCCCACTTCTCTCTCCCACAGAATGGAAAGTTCTGGACAGGAGCCCTACACCTTGGGTGAGGGGCGTCTCATTGTCTCATTCCCTTCCAGTACACAGTGAATTGACTGACTGCTGCCAAAGGAGGGGGTGTGAATGTCTCGGAGAGTTCACGAGCCTGTTTGATTGTGTGCTCTCACCAGCTCTGCTTTGGGGCCCTGCAAGAGCCTCTGCTCAACCCTGTCCCCTCTCTCATGGCTTGATTTCTCCTGAGCCCATCTAGTTCCTAGAGCTAGGTGGTGCCTAATCACAGAGAGTATCTAGGAAAGGACTGGCTAACTCACAAGTCCATGCATCCCGTTTATTGGCTCATACACTGAAGGCAAATATTTGAGTTTCGAGGTTTGATGTAGGCCTTGTTATGTAGCCCAGACTAGCCTCTAACTCATGATTTTCCTGTCTTAGTTTCTCCAGTACTGGGATTATAGCTGTGCACTGCCACAGCGAGAAAACATCTGGGTTTGTGCTTACCTGTGTAAAGCTCCTACTTGGCATCTTTATTCTTTCACAATAGGATGCCTAAGGGCCAGCTGGAAAGAAGCTCACCTGCCCTTCAGTGGTTCTTAGCTGGATAATAGATGGGCTGACAAGCCAGCTCTGAGATGAGTTTTGGAGCACTATGGCAGAAAGTCTTACTAAAATGCAGATACAGATATCTTGTGACATGTAAATCCAGCCAGTTGCTTGTATTTTAATGAGAGTTATCATCTCAACTTTATTCTCCCTTTAACAATTATTGTTATGTGTGTAATACACAAGGGCAGAAAGAGCCCTGGGCACTAGATGTCAGCTAGCTGCATACATGGGATTTCAACCAAGCTGAGGGTATTCCATACTTCTTGTCTTGTTTTGTTCTTGAGGTAGAGTCTCAGGCTAGCCTCAAAATCTTGTTCCCACTCACTGCATCTACCTTCTATGTACTGAAGGGACAGGCATGAACCACCATGTGTGTGTATATGTGTGTGTAAATTAAGGTGTATAGTCTGTTGTTTTGATGTACATAGATCTTATGGCATGTTTACTATAGTCAAAATAGTCAAAATAATTAACCTGTCCATCATCTTTCATAGTCACATGTGTTTGTGGCTAGACCACTTAAGTCTATGCTCAGCAAACTTCAAATGCATGATACAGTATTATGAGCTATAATCAGTATGCTGTACATTACAGCTCTAGAACTTCTCCATCCCCCACTACTGAAGTCTATAGCTCTTCCAACGTCTCCCTGTTTCTGAACTCTTCCCACTGTCTCTGGCAACTGCCATTTGTTCTCTGCTCCTGTAAATTTAACTTTTGGGCAGTGGTTTGAGACAAGGTTTCTCTGTGGCTTTGGAGGCTGTCCCGGAACTAGTTCTTGTAGACCAGGCTGGTCTCGAACTCACAGAGATCTGCCTGCCTCTGCCTCCCTAGTGCTGGGATTAAAGGTGTGCACTACCTAAGATCCCACATAAATGAGACAATTCAGCATTTGCTTTTGTCTTAATGATTTGACTTAACCCAGGGCCTTCTGGGTTCATCTGTGTTGTTAAAGATGGCAGACGCTCCTTCTTCTAGGGCTGAATAAGATAGCATTCTACACAGCATCTCTGTACACAAGGCTTTAGTGTGCATAAGGCTTAACTCTGTCCTCTCAGACTCAGGCATCCACTAAGAACATTGGAGCAGACCCTCATAGGTAAGATGAAATGGTTATGTCAGAGAAATCTGGGCCATCCTTTTCACCAGTGAAATTAGATCTGAGTGTGAAAATACCGTTTCAGAGTTTCAGATTGCTCTACAGAGGAACTTACCTCTCTCATTGTAACGTATTTTGGAAATTCTTTTCTATCTTTTTCTACTCAAGTGTGGTGTAGGCTGGCGAGCAAGCTACAGGATTTCTTTCCTTTCTTAAAGAAAATTATTTTTATGCTTTTAGATTATGTGTAGGCATGTGTGTCTTCTGAATGTGAGTATGTACAGAGTGTAGGTGCTCACAGAACCCAGAGGCATTGGATTTCCTGGAGCTGGACTTATAGATGGTTGTGAACCACCTGACGTGGATGCCGGGAACCATACTTGGGTCCTCTAGAAGGGCAGCAAGAGCTTTTAACCACTGAGCCATCTCTCTAGCCCCTTAATTTAAAAAAATGTATTGGGGCTGTCCATGCCTGCTATGATTTGATGTGGTGGTTAGAGGGTTACTTGCAGTCTTCTTCCACCACATCAGTTCCAGAGTTTAAACTCAGATAGGGTTGGCAGCAAGTGTCTTCATCTAGTTGGCCATCCTGCAGACCCCCAGGATTTCTCTTCTTCTTTTGTATACCTACTGACCACATCCCCTCCCTTTTGCAGTTGGAAGTATACTCACACCTGAGTCCCTGCCTATAGAATGTGAATACGAGTGATATATATATATTACTATCTGGTCTCAGCCATACAACCCTCCCTCACATTCCACGACACTTTCCTTTCTTTTATCTTTATACAGAGTATCTCATCTTACTTAAGAGTTAAATGTTAAGCTCAGCATGGTGCTGCACACATTTACTCCCAACATTTGGGAGGCAGAAGCAGTGGATCTCTGTAAGTAAGTTCAAGCCAAACTAGGACTCTGCATCAAATTATCATCATCATCATCATCATCATCATCATCATCATCATCATTATTATTAACAATAATGTTTTTGAGGATGGTAACAGAAGCTCATATTTTGGGTTATATATGATGTGATGGTTAATCTTGATTGTCAGTTAAATCAAACTGAGAGATGCTTAGGAAATCAGTGAAGTGTATCCATAGGTATGTTTGTGGTAACATTTCTAATATTTAGTAGTTAGTGAGTGAGTGTGTACATGTGTGTCTGTGTGTGGACACATAAGTGTCATGGCATGTATGTGGAGGTCAGAGGACAGCTTGAGGGAGCCTGTTTTCTCCTTCCATGTGGGTCCTAAGGATTAAACTTGGGTAGTCAGACTTAGTGCCATTACCTTTACCTGCTGAGCCATCTCACCATCCATGTGATGACATTTCCAGTAACAATTAGGTCATGAGAACTCTGACCTAATCAATGATTTAGTTCTCTGATGAATTTAAAAAATGTGAATAGAGTTGTTGGGTAGGGTGGAGCCACATTGAAGGAAGTGGGTCCCAGGGGCTGATATTTCAGTGGCTGTCTTTTTTGTTTGTTTGTTTGGTTGGATGGTTTTTCCATACAGAGTTTCTCTGTGTAGCTTTGGAGCCTATCCTGGCACTTGCTCTGGAGTCCAGGCTGGCCTCGAACTCACAGAGATCTGCCTGCCTCTGCCTCCTGAGTGCTGGGATTAAAGGCATGTGCCACCAACTCCCGGCTTCAGTGACTGTCTTATCTCTGCTCCCTTCCTGTTTTCCTCTTTGCTTTCAGAGGTGTGAGGTGAACAAATTTTTCTACCATCCATTCCCATTAACACATCCTCTACCTTGCCTCTGTCAAGTCAAACTTAGGCAGAAACCTCTGAAAACATGATCTAAAAAACAAAAATGTTGTTCCTTTAAATTGTTTATCTCAGGTGTTTCTGAAAGCAATGAAGAGTCTGATGAACACATGTGAATAAAAGTTTTTGTCGGGATTGTTAAGGAGTGGAAATTATCATTTTTCTAGAACTGTGAGATCATCAAAGCTAGTGCAAAACTGATACACAGTCTTCTAGAAAAATCTGAACAAGTGCACAAGCAAAAATGTGATTAAAAAATAAGCATCTAAGCTGGGCGTTGGTGGCACATGCCTTTTATCCCAGCACTCGGGAGGCAGAGGCAGGAGGATCTCTGAGTTCGAGGCCAGCCTGGACTCCAGAGCAAGTGCCAGGATAGGCTCCAAAGCTACACAGAGAAACCCTGTCTTGAAAAAAAAAAATAATCATCTGCAAAATTATAGCTGATGATAACCAGTGTTAGCCTTTTGTAGGAATCCAGCTATAGCATGGAAGGGCTGTGAAGTTAAAAAAAAAAAAATGACTAGAATTAAGATCATGATCCCAGTCCCAATTTCTCCTAACTAGTAGATTGCTTCTTTTTCTTATCTTTTTAAAGATTCTGTTCTTTACTGTAGAAAGGTAAGGTTTTGACATCTGTGTTCTCTAAGTGAGAAAGAGTAATTTTTGTTTTGTTTTGTAACAGGGACTTATTGTCCTGGCTAGCCTAGAATTCATTGGGTAAACCAGGTCACAGAGATTCACCTGCCGTTACCCTCTGAGTGCTGGAATTAAAGGCATACACCATCATGCCCAGCTATATAAGAAGGTGTTCTTAAGTGTCCTTAAGAGAGAGAGAGAGAGAGAGAGAGAGAGAGAGAGAGAGAGCTGGAGAGATGGCTTAGAGGTAAAGAGCACTGGCTGCTCTTCCAAAGATCTTGAGTTCAATTCCCAACAACTACATGGTGGCTCACAACCACCTTTAATACATGTAATATATACATTGCACGTATGCAGCCAGACATACATGCAATGCAGGCAAAGCACTGTATATATAATAAATAAGTAATCCTTAAAAAAGAAAAGAAATATATATATATATATATACATATATATATATATATAGAGAGAGAGAGAGAGACAGAGACAGAGACAGAGACAGAGACAGAGAGAGAATAAAATGGAGTGTTTACCACCCCCCATAAGTTTTCTTTTTTAGCCAATCAAAAGATATTAGGAAAACCTTAAGATTATAATAGCCAAAAAGCTCCAAAGGGTGAATGCTCAGACAGAAGAGATGCAAAGGGAAGCTATGGATATGATTACAGAGGGGACCAGAGAGGAAAGTTTCCAGGTAGCCACCTTTGCTCTGGGAAATCCTGAGCTACTGTGGCTAAATGTG